TAGCCCTTGCCTAAGGAAGGGAACAAGCTGTCACTACTGACCTGACACAAGCCAGAAGAAAAGGATAATCATATCTGCGGGGAGTGCCGCCTGACTGGTCAGTAGGGGAACATCCTTTGAGTCAGTGAGGGATGGTCAAACATCACCAATATCCACAGCGTCAGAGGAGTAGCTGGGGATTAGCTGTATTTTAATCCCCAGCTACTCCTCTGACACTGTGGATATTGGTGATGTTTGACCATAGACCCTATGTGGTAGTTTTCAGGCTTAGAAGGAAAGGACATAAATAGCGGTAATGCATAGGCAAAAAACAGGAGAAACAACCAAAGCCGAAATCTGTGATCAGGAGTTGTTGTTGAGTCAATATCCAAGTCGGGGAACGATAGTGAAAAAAGGTAGTTTACAGAGGACGTAGGAACAATGCTCTTCCTGGGAAACCCAATACTGAGCACTGGAAACCTAGTGTAGAGTGTTTAAGTAGAGTTAAGTGTTTGAGTGTTATGATCCTGGGGAGGTGTGGTAAAGAGTGGAAGCTGGAGATTGGTTAATTAATTGTGCCTTATTAAATTGACCCGGGTGGAAGAGCATCTTTGATTGTGGGGCCTTGATCTCATGACACATAGCCCCAGAGAGAGGCCATTGCACTTGGCAACTGGGAAAGAGGAAGAAATTGTGCCCTAGTTCATTGCACTGGAGAAATGGGTGAATGACAGGGACCTCACTGGAGGATGACAAGCTCCCAGTTTGTTCCGCCCACTTGAATGGAGAGATGACCTTCAAGTGACTGTTGCTGACCTGCAGAATGTCATCACCCGACAAGTTTGATGAAGGCAAGTGATAAGGTGATGGTATAAAATCACCAAGTGGAGGCTTCTGAGCAATCTACAAAAATCTGCTTCCTTAGAGGAGAGAGCAAAATTTAAGGAAACATTTTAGATTGCAATGTGGACAGCGACTATGTATTTTGTTTTGAAGTTGGTAACCTTAGATGCAGAACAGATAGCAGCAAGAAACTGGAGATATTCAGTTTAGTGAAGAGCTCAGTGATGCTATTTGTTCTCATATTTATTTCCTCTCCATAGTATATTAAAACACTGAATCACTGCCTTTATGCATCTGTTTCTCAGGACCCCACCACATGCAACATCACAAAGAAAGATGGAATGAAGTGTGTTTTGCTGCTCTGTCATACAGAGTCCATCCTTCCTTTCAGTTTCCATCTTTTGGTCTTATTCCAAGAATGGAACCTGAGCATGTGGAGGCCCATAAAACACAGCACAAAGGTATGCTTTTCTGTGTACAACTTCCATTAAATATTAAGATGATGCCAGGAAAAAGATGTTGTCATACATACTAATGATGATCACCCTCTGGTATCCAAACCTACTGTAGCTAGGTTTTTCCTCAATGAGTAGTCCGTAATGCCTTAAATCAGAGTGGTATAAAATGACCTTCTGATAACCTAGACCAGGTTTTGAATAGCTTTATGAATTCTTTAATGGGGCAATATATCTGTATATTTAATGCACAGCATTCATGCTCTTAGTATAAAACCGTTTACTATTTTGTTGTGTTTAAGCTATTGTTAATATACAACTAAATTGCAAGCATTTTTTAATCTGATAGCTCCATAAATGATAGATATTAATTAAGTGGATAATTTGTGTTATGTAGGCCACTCCTGTTCAGGAATAAGTAAATTACAAAGAAACATAAAATACAAATATAATACAATAAAATACAATAAAATGTGTAAAATAAAACATGTATGTGATTTATTATCCAGACAAGATTGGTTGCTACTATCTTGAAAGATATAATTAAATTTAAATGTTATTATTAATGGTAACAATTTTGAACAAGAGCAGAAAGATGCTGATTACATGTAATTTTAGTAAGTTTATAGTCAAGTTTTATTTCTAAAGAATAAACACTTAGCTCTTTATTGTTTGGAACAGAATAGAAGCCCATACTTTCTTAAGTAAAAAGAATGCATATTCAGCAAGATTTTGTAAGGTGGCAAAAAAATTACTATGTTGCACAATGATTATTTACCCTGATTTATGTAACTAGATATCTTTATTTAATTCATTTATAATTCAGCAAGTTTATATAGACAGTTCTTAAAATTCCTCTGAAAATGATGTATTTAGAGACAAAAAACAATCATAAAAATTGCTTTGCACTCCATTTCACATCTTTTCTCTTCAATAAATTGTGCTGTGCATGTTTCATTTGAGTTCTTGTTTTCATAATTGGCTTATATATTCTCGGGTGTTCTGATAAGAGCTTTTGGAACTACACATTTGTATGTTTAAGCAGTGAAGTGTATCAGATCAACTTACTTCAATGGAATGCTTTGAGATTAAACCATATTGAATTTTATTCAATAGGCATGTTTCTAGTTGCAGTTGCTTTCTACTGTAATGGTCATCTGTATGATGGAACAGATGTTTAATGTATGACAATTTCTCAGATGAATGTTGTTAAGAATGTTCTGTTTAGGCACTGTGAAATGAAATTGTCTGAAATAGTTTGCATTGTATAATTTTAAGTCCTGTTATTTGGCTTCTGCCCGCAAGAAAAGACAAGCTGTGATTTGCAGTCTTTTTTCTAAGGAATGCTGGGTGTGTTAATGTATATTAAGTCTCGTCAGAAAACTTAGAAAATGGGAAGCTGTCATAAATAAAATAAGGATATAAAGCATAAAATGTTAAAAGGTTGGAAATATTCACTTTCTCAGGCAAATATTGATTAGAGTTTATAAGGAATATTGCTGTCTGCAGTCCATTTAGTGTTTGGTTAGCCTGATGTAGTTTGATTTTTGTTGGGAGAATGTAAATGTAAATGGGAGTCTTATCATTGTAAAAAGAGTCATTTTAAAGCATGAGAGATTTCTGTTTTGCACATCAAGGTCAAAGCTCTGGACTTGTGTTATTACTAAAATAATGGGAACCTGTCAAACAAGTACTATAGTATAGAGCTTTAGTTAGATTCTTGTGTCACTAAATAAACAAATACTGTAAGTAACTTAAAACATTATTTTTTATTTACAGGTGTTATTTATGGGTGTGTCCACAGCCTTGGTCTGCATCAATTATGGTGCATGCCTTGAATTTATATATTGCCTCAGAAATCTTGTTGTTGTAGTGCTCTGACTTATGAATTAATCAGCTTCCTAGATTTTGCCTTTACTGTTGTTTGAACATTTTCAACCCATGGAACAAGTAACGGTTTGTTCCGTGCTGAAAAGAAAAGAGATACAATGTTTCGGCCGTGAAGCCTTCTTCGGATGTAAGGAAGAGAAGAAAACCAGCAGTTGAAAAGGCATGGGAGAACAAAAGCCGGAAGTGGAGAGGAGGCAGGAACAGGAGAGAAGAAGTATTGACACTTGGGTGGTGTGAAGAAGAGAGGTGTGAAGTCAAAATATGCAAACGAATAGAGAGGATTAGAAGGAAACAAGTTTGTCATTGAGAGAAAGGGGAAGGTGTGATTCTAGTTTCAGGATAATTTTGGTTTCAGATATCTTTCCACAATAGGAGTTCCAAAACCCTCTGTGAGAACGCAGACAGAGATGATCGGTATGATCGGGTATGATCACACATCGAAGCTTCCACAGCCGAAACATTTTGTTTTCAGGATAATAATAATAATTGCTTACATATATACTTATATAGTGCTTTTCTGGACACTCCACTCAAAGCACTTTACAGGTAATGGGAATTTCCATTACCTGTAATGGGAACTCCCCTCCACCACCACCAATGTGCAGTATCCACCTGGATGATGCGACAGCAGCCATAGTGCGCCAGAACGCTCACCACACATCAGCTATTAGTGGGGAGGAGAGCAGAGTAATGAAGCCAATTCATAGATGGGGATTATTTGGAGGCCATGATTGGCAAGGGCCAGTTGGAAATTTGGCTAGGACACTGGGGTTACACCCCTACTCTTTTTGAGAAACACCCTGAGATTATTAATGACAACAGAGAGTCAGGACCTCAGTTTGTTACGTTTAATCCGAAGGACAGCGGCTGTTTACAGTACAGTGTCCCCATCACTATACTGTGGCATTAGGACCCACATGGACCACAGGGTGAGCGCCCCCTGCTGGCCCCACTAGCACCTCTTCCAGCAGCAACCTTAGTTTTTCCCAGGAGGTCTCCCATCCAGGTACTGCCCAGGCTCACACCTGCTTAGCTTCAGTGGGTTGCTAGTTGTGAGTTGCAGGGTGATATGGCTGCTGGATGGAATGGATGGAATAAACCTATTACTCGTTCCTTAAAATTAAGTATATTAAATCTGGGAGGGAGAAATAAAGTATTTAGAGGTCACAAGATTGTCTTGTAATTTTGTGAGGCAGAGTTATATACTGTATAAATGTGTTTCCCGGCATTGCTCATTGGGTGTATTCTGTCCATACATTATCATAAAGTTGCTTGTGACTGGTAAGGAAATCTGATACCTATTCTGTTAATTTAGGGCACAAGACAAGGCTATTTTCTGTTTGGAAATGTCTTGATTTCTAAGAAATATATACCACATTACTATATCAGTGCATTATTTTCAATAATATTTTAGATTGATTAGAATGATCTGAAATAAATAATGCCATTTTTCTAAAAAACTCACTCCAGAAGGCTGCATGGCTAACATCGAACCTGGGACCCAAGAGCTCTGAGGCAGCAGCACTAATCACTATGCAAATGTACCGCCCTCAGAAGTCTCCCTCAGTTGAAAACATGTTTTTCAAGTTGTCAGGAATATTAAAAAAAACATTCAACATCCCAAAGTTGTATTTACTGTTTCTTTTTCTAAAATGAATTGGCAGAATGCCAGGGACCAAAACAAGAAAACTGCTTTTATTTCCTCAGAGTTAGCATAACGTTTCTTCTCACTGGATAACTAAGGGTATATGACAGAGTGGGATAAGTTACAGACTGTCTCTTATATCTCTGTATTACAGGGTTGCTGCTGGTACTTCTACGTAGGCGTTCTGATTACCGGAGCTTTTAGACTAATGACATGCTGTGCAGTATAGCTGTTGCTAGTTTCCAGCTCAGGTCATCAGTACCACAGGAGGGTTTTGCTTGTTGTCTGAAGTGGAGTAAAACAAGCACAGAAAAATTAAAAGGGAAAGAGTGTATTACAAATTGCTCAGCAGTTTCACAGCTCTTAACTACTCAGAATTAGGGTAATTGTTAATTGGTCTGTATGGTTATTTTGTTACTAGTAGATTATTGAAATGATAATCTCACCCAGTTATTGTTAAAAGAAGCCATAACATTGCTCAAACAACATACAGTAGTTAGCATATTTTATGTTGCATACTATCACATCCCTTTGTATAAAGAAGTGTCTTCTGTTCTCGGATGTAAATGCACCCTCACTTCAAGTTTACACTTGTGATCTCTGGTTTGTGTAATTGTGTACTATATTTATAGAGAAAGATGATTATTCTAGACTGCATCTCCAATCAAAATGACCATCTTTTCTAGTGCTTTATCTTTATCTGAAGTCACTCGCTTCAGTTGAGAGAGGAAAGTCATATAGAGATAGATTTGCCATTCTGTAGGAAAGTAAAGCAGTGCGCTATGGTCCCGTTCAGACAAAGGTTGAGTGGAGACAGATCTTGACTCCTGCACAAACCACTGTTGTCGAAGATGTCAAGAAGAGTGTGAGTATGGAATGGAGTGTAGTGGAATGGTCCCTCTGAAAAGAATGTAACCGAGGTAGTGCACTTGAGAGACATGAAAAACACATTTTTCTCATTTAACATAGAGATGGTGCTCTATGAGATGTTCAAGAACTTTTCAGATGTGAGAGATATGTTCCTGCAGAGAAGAGGAGTAAATGAAAATGTCATCAAGGTATACCAGCACAGATCTCTGAATCATGTCCCTAAAAATGTCACTGACAAAAGCCTGAAAAACCATTTGCATTGATGAGACCAAAGGGCATCATGAGGTATTTATAGTGCTGTCAGTATTCATGAAAGCCTTCTTTCATTCTTCACGAATTCGGATCAAATTATAAGTACCTCAGAGGTCCGCTTTGGTGAATATAGTTTCTCCATGCATAGATTCCAAGGCTGCTAGGAGGATAGCGATTCTTGATGGTGATTTTGTTTAACCCTCGATAATCTATACAAAGACAAAGACCTCTGTCCTTCTTTTCAATGAAAAAGAAGCCAGCACATGCAGGAGAAGTAGGTGGATGAATAGTTCCAGCTTTGAGAAATTGTTGAATGTATTGTTACATGGCTTCAGACTCTGGACAAGAG